GGGTGGAGGAGGAAGCCTCGTACGATCTGGGAAGTGTAGGACTGTGCAGGAATTCCGGAGTTAGCTTCTAATGACCCATATTAGGCTCCTGTTCCTGGTCTTCACGGGGAAGCGGGCATGGTTTGCAGTAGCAGCCGACTATGACCTCTAACTTTCCTACTTGCATATATGTCATATAACTGCTCTTTTTATTTTTAAACAGGGGTGATTCTTCAAGAGCGCCTTCGGACTTTGAGAGTTTACAGCTTTGATTTTACACTCAACTTTTGACACTTCCTTTAAATTATGTTTTTATTAAGATTATTTTATTATGGGGGAAAGGTATTTGGAAGACTTTGTGACTTGCATGTCCCATCCTGTGTGCCGGCCCCTCCCCAGTGCCGCCCTGTGTCGACACCCCACGTGGTCTCCACGGCGCTCCGCCGAGGAGGGGGGGGCCTCTGGGCGGGGGTGGATGACGCACGCGCCGGGGGGGTGCCCAGCAATCACCTCGTTTCTCCAACTACCTCCCGTCATCGTGGATTCAAGCGTGCAGCCCGTTGCTTCCCCTGGAATGCCTAGACCACAAGGCGTGTGCCCCGTGGACCGAGGAGGGATCAGTTAGTGAGTGCTGACGACACTTGGTGCTGGTAACCCGAGGGCATTGCTTGCCACCAGGAGCGGTGAAACCGGAAGCAGCCTCGGCACTGCTGCTCTGCGGGGCCTCTCGCTGCCCGTGGTGGCGGGGACGCGGCGGCCAAAGGGAACGGTTGGTTTGGTGTCACGTGGAACGGCGAGTAGTCTGTCTCTCTGAAGAGTGGTTTCAGGATCCCTGTCCTCTGGCCGCGAGTCCCTCCCTGGGGCTGGGAAATACTCCTTGCATCAAGGGGTTGCTTAAAAAAAAGAACAAAGAATCTTTTGGGGAAACTGCCTCTCAGAGCCTCTCCTATATAGACAGCTTTGCTCGAGGGGAGTTTGTCCTTCCAGAATGGCGTTACTGCCATTGAACTGCAATTGGAAAAGCTATTTTCTTAACGTGGTGTAACCGTAGGCACCGCCGCGTGCCCGCTGTCCTCCGGCTAAGACTCCGTGTGTACTCTAACTTAAATAAATGACGCAGAACGAGACACGCCTTTGTGTGTCGTGCTCTTTATGTCGCGGCCGGGCGGGAAATGTCTCGGTGCGGTCCTGGACGTGCCCATGTCACCTCCGGTCCGCACCTGGCTGTCCTCGGTGGGGGCAGCCTTAAGTGGATGAGCTGATCGTCTGCTTAAAAACTGAGAGGAGCCTTTCTTTTTCGTGGGAAACCAGAATTTCCCCCAAAGGCTTCAAATTCGGGTTCCCAGCATACAGAGATGCAGAGAAGCGTGGGTGCTGCTTGGTTGTGGGAAAGAGGGGAGGCCCGTGTTACTCACGGGGGTCCCTCCCTCTGCCGGGCGTGGATGGGGCCTTCGTGCGTGTGAACCGGGAGCGGCGGGCCGACGGTTGTCAGCCAGCAGGACCGCTTTGTCCGCCACTGGTGCTCTTGTCCCCCGGCCTTCTGCGTCCAGGGCAGTGTCCCGAGTGGTTTCTCCCCAGAGTGACATCAGCGCCACTGACCCTGCGCTCCTTGGGGCCTGTTGCTGCCGTCCGCACCACCCGCCCTCTGGCCGCTGAGCCCGCCTCCTCGTGAGCTGGCTCCTCCGAACAGGCCGAGGCCGGGGCTCAGGCTGGTTTGCCGGTCCGCGGCCAACCGCCGTGCCTCGGACATTCGAGAAACCGGGCTGGGGAGAAGAATGTTCCTCCGCGGTTAGCGCAGCTCCGTGGGGAGATCGGGAGAAGCAGCGGCTTCCCTGCGTGCCTGTGCTCGCCGGCTCCAGGCCGCCGTCCCCGCTGGGGCCCCGAAGCAGGAGCTACCGCGCCACCTCCGTCTCCGTCTCTCGCGGACCGAAGTAAAGCGTGTCACTCACGGAGGTCTTCACGCCTGGCTTGGCGCTTGGGACGCGGCTGACGGGGTGGGTTCCGAGCCCCGTTCGCGCCCGGTGGGCTCGGCCTGAATCCTTCCCGACGTGCCCACGTGGCAGCGCCGCGCCGTACAACGCTGAGGGCTCGGTGGGCGAGGGACGGTTTGCACACGTTCCCGGGCCCCAGCTGGCCGTGGTTAAGTGCTGGCCGCTCGGGGAACCCTGTGGAGAAGGGACCCCGGCTGGCTGTCCGGGGCCGGTGGAGCCCCAGCAGCCCTGCGCCCCCCTCCGCCCCGCTGGCCGAGGCAGCGGGCGCCCTGGCACTTCCACCCAGCCGGGCCGGGGCTTAGCGGCCTGGAGCAGCTCACCTGGTCTTTGTCGCCACCGGCTGTGTCCCGGGAGGGGCACTTCTGAGGGTCGTGCTGCCCGGACCAGCCTCTAGCCTGTGCCCAGCATGTGGACGGGGCTCACAAATGCCCCCGACTTCCTCAGCAGCACATCCTCTGTGCGGTTCTCAGGGAGCCTCTGGAAACTTGGTTCCGGCCCTGCGTTTGGGTGACCGGGGAGCCCAGCGGACGAGCAGCAGGAGTTGGGTAGTGACGTGCCACGAGACCGGCCTCCCTTGCTGGCGCGGTTGGTAAGTGGGAAGAGCGAGTCTCCGAGCAGCCGAGCCTGGCACAGGAGGGGTCTCCTGGCCGACGACCCAGGGGCTGCAGTGCCAGAGCTGCTCCGTCTACTCCGGATGCGGCCAAGGACCTCTAGCCCAACGACGGAGAGCGGAGCAGCGCAAGTGTGTTCTGTGGCCGTCCTGTGAAATGCCCTGTTTGACCAGGTGCCACGCTCTTCTGGTGGCTTGGACCCTAAGCTGGGTATTGCTCGTTTCCCCAGCAGGTTGCTATTTGGCATCTGTGACCTGTCAGCCGTGGTTTAGGTTCTGAACGTTAGCAATGAACAAAACAGACCCAAATCCCTGTCCCCGGAAGCGTGTATTCTACTGTGGCGCAGGGAACACAAGGAAAGCTAGAGTGTGACTGACATGTGTGCGGAGGAAGGAGGCCAGAAGCAGGCAAGGGGGAGGGAGGTGTCATCTGCAGTAGGGCGGGTAGGGAATTGGCTTTCCCCTCCACTTGAAGGAGGAGCCCAGAGGAAACAGCAGCCCTGCAGCTCGGGGGAGCAGCCTTCCAGGCGGGGAAGCACCCAGTGCAAAGGCCCTGCAGCAGGTGTGTTCGGGAGACAATGGGTCTCTGTAGCGGGAACACCCGAGCAAGGGGCAGAGGGGCTGAGGTCAGATGGGCCAGGTTGTGCAGAATTGGGTAGCCCGCTGTTTGGAATTTGCCGCTGATGAAATGGGGAGCTCCTGCAGGGCTTTGGTTGCTAGCATGGCATGATCAGATGTTGGCTCGGGAGTGTCGGGCTCTGCTGGTGGAGATGAGGGGGGGATCCTCACTAGTGGCTGGAGGGTGCTTGGCCTGGAGGTCCCACCCTGTGCAGGTGCTAGTGGGTGCTGGGGAGACATAGGACGTCAGTCTGATGATGACCAAGTGCCCCTGCTCCCTGTGCATTTCACTGTCTTACAGATGAAGAAGCTGAACAAAGAGGTAGCAGTTTGTCCCCCCCTCCAGGGGACCCGGTATGTAAGGTCGAGCTGGAGTGGATTGCAACTGTCGGGGCCCCCCAGCTCTGGGTGGGAGGAGCCCCCAGGCTGGCTCGGCCTCCTGGACAGAGGTGGGCTGGCCATGGGACTCAGGACTCAGCTGTGTCCAGTGGGCTGACTGCGCGGCCGAGAAAGAACATCCTTGCCCCAGGTGCATGTAATTTATTCAAGAGCTGGGACAATCACAAGTTCCAGCCAGCCCAGGGTCGGGTGCCCGGTGACTGAGTGTGCCTTGCCATTGGCAGAAAGGCTTTCCCAAGAGGACACGTTCCTTTCTGGCCCGTCTCGCCGCTGGGGTCAGAGACCCCAGCCCGGGCAAAATGAGCGTCTGAGGGAGTAGGGCAGTCCCTCACAGCTTGGCCCTGGGATGGCTCTGGCCGAGTTTTTAGCAGTTCTTTCTGGAAGTAAGGTTCCTGGGGGCTCAGGCTAAGAGCAGTTCCTCAGCTCCAAAGCCCGGGGTCTGCTCAGGATTGAAGCCTGCCCTCGGGCTGTTGTTGAAGGAGCGTGGACGGCTGCGCCCCCATCCACCTCCGAGCAGCCCAGATGGCTTTCAGGGCGAGGACTTGGCTCACACAGGCAGTCCCGCATCTGCCAGTGGAGCTGGCCTCCCCTGCGCCACTCTGTCGCCCGCCCGCGCGCCGGGGCCCTCACAGGACGCAGCATGTGCAGGAGACGGGCGCGGGCTGCTGCAGCTGCTGCCTCAGTTCCTCCTTCTCTGCCGTCAGCACCTTGAGCCTCTGCTCCAGCTTGCTCAGCTCGGCCGCCCACTTCTGCGGGTGCCACAGAGGTAGAGGTCCATGCTGGGGCCGCCGGGGGCCGCGCCCTGCCCCCGCCTGGGGTTGAGCCGATGGAGGAGGGCGAGATCCAGGAGGGCCCTGGGGGGCCTACTCGAGGCCACCGGGAACCACATGGGCCCGGCGAGGTGCAAGCCAGGTCCCTGGCCCGGCCGCCACCCCTGACATGTCAGCCCTGGGTCTTGAGGGAAGCCGCCCGCCCGGAGGCCTGCCAGCATCCCAGACCCCGGGCTGACCCACCCTCTGGAGCCTCCTCGGGTCCCAGGGGCAGACCCGGGTGGGCCGCCGCCCCATCACGTCCTTCCCTCTCTCGCCGGCAGCCCCTTGCCCTCCACTGCTTCTCTGCCACCTGATGTGGCCCTCTTGAAAAGGCTTTTTCTTGGGACTGTGTCCAGCACTTACTGCCTCCTCATCGTAAGGGCCTCGCCCCAAATGCACTACAGTCTTTGGGGTGGTCTTCAGCCTTCTCCATATGCCACTCCCCCGGCTCGGCCAGCCACACGATGCCCCCGAGTGTGTGGGCTGCTTTCAGTGCAGCCCTCCCGTGTTCTGGCGGGTGATGGGGCACCGGGGGAACCTGATGGCATGGCCCGGACTGCGCGGTGAGGGGCCCCGACCCTGGCCGCTCACCTGCCTGCACCACTCCTGGATGGCGTGGCCGGACAGCGGGCCCTGGATGCTCCCGTCCCGCCGCAGGAACACCTCCCCCTGGTCGGTCTCGTAGAGCTGCGGCTCGGCCTGGGCCCTGGGGGCGTGCACGCTCAGGCGGATCACCTTGGTAAGGGTGACAGCGACTCTGGCAGGCACTGCGGCCCCCCCACATCCCGGGGCTCCCTCCCGGGGGCTCCCGGAGCAGCCTGGGGGCGGGACTTCCAGCCTCTCCTCCCGTCACTCTCCCCGGTCCCCTTGGCCCCCGTCCCCACCCAGCCCTGCTCGGCAGAGTGGAGGCGGGCCCTCCCTCGTTGAGTCGGGGGTGGGAGGGGTGGGGGGGGACAGGCCAGACCCCGAGAGCTTCCTGGCGGCGGCTCACCTTGAGCGGCGCGTCGGAGGCGGAGGTGCTGACCACCGGGATGAAGGAGAGCGTGTAGGCGTCGGGGAAGACCTGGGGCTGGAAGCCCTGCAGGATGGAGTCCACGAGCAGGCGCACGCGGTCCTCGTCGTGGTGGCTGCAGCGCACGCCCTGCACCAGGCCGCTGTCCTCGACGCCCACGAACAGGCTGCCGCCCTCGCTGTTGAGGAAGGCGCACACGTAGCGCCGCAGGTGGTGCTTGAAGGCCAGGCTCAGGTACTCGCCGCCGCCGCGCTTGAACTCCACGCTGCGCGTCTCGTTGCCCAGGAAGGCGCCCTGGAAGAGGCGCTCCTGGCCCGTTATCTCCTGGTGCACGATGGCGCTGTCGGAGCGCGTGCCACCCGGCTGGCCCCGGGACCTCTGCAGGGCCCGCCCTGGGGTGCTGTGGGTGGGTCTGGGGTTGGGGCGGGGGCTCGGGCGGCTGTCCTTCTCCTGCTGGGGCGAGGGCTGAGAGTCAGGAGCCCCGAGCCTGGCAGCGAGGGGGACGGGACACCCCCTTCCGCTCGGGGGGGCCCAGCCGCTCAGCCATCCTGATGCCCCCTCCCAGCGGAGGGGCCTGATTCTGCCCACCGTCCCGTAGCCAGGGCGGGAGATGCGCTGAGGCAAGGGTTTGACCCGCCACCGCTCCTTCCCGGGGCGGCGGGGTGCGTGCTGGGTACGATGCGCTCTCCTTCCCGGGGCTGGGAGCTGGAGCTGCTGTGGCCGAGCTCTGCCCACCTCGTTAGAGGCGGGCCTCTGAGGCCCAGGGCCAGATCACTCCAGGACATACCTCAGCAGCCTGAGGTCCCCTGTGACAGGTCTCTGAATTGTGAGGGGGGATCCCAGAAACCCACCCCCTTCCTGGTCTCCCTGAAACGCCTGCCTGTCGCTTTCTGGACCGCTGACCAGTCCTCCTGAATCTCAGCCCTCCTCCAGCCCTCCTGAGACCCTGTCCATGGTTTCTGCTCTGTTCCAGGCCTCTGTGCGTGAGCAGGCTCATGGCCACTGGCCGAGTCTGGGCCTCACGCGGCCTCCCTACCTCCAGGCTCCTCCCGTCCCATCCACCCTCCTCGCTGACTCTGGCTCCTTGCTGCCTCCCGATCTCCAGCAGTGGTTTCTGGGGCCGGCAGCGCAGTGGGGGCTGGGGCACGGTGGCGAGGGGCACATCCCTACCAGCCCCGTGGCTCCCGGACAAGACAGTTCATCAGAAACATGAGGAAACTGTCACACAAACATGCAGTCAGGCTCACAAAGCTGTTCACTTCCGCAACAATCGAAACACCACAGAGTTCTCATCCCCAAAGAAAAGGAAAACCAAGACCACCTGTCTCACAGAGTGTCCTACCTTAGCCACAGGGAGTTGACGCTCCCTCCCATCCCCCATAAAGACCACCCCACCCCCCACCCCCCACCCCCAGCAGCCTCCCTGCTCTGCTTTGGTCTTGCGGCCCTTGGCGGCCCGGACCCTGCGCTGTGGCCCAGCTTTCTTCCTCAGCTCCTCGGCAGCCTTCAGCCGGAGCTCCAGGGCCACCAAATGGCTTGCTCTTCTGCAAATGGGACATTGCCCCTCACCATGCCCCCTGCCTAGAACGTCCTTCCACTCCCTAAATCCCAGCTGGGATTTCCGTTCTTCTGTGAGATTGGCCCGCAGCTGGGCGACTGGCTGTGTCCGGCCCTGCTCAGCGCTGAGGGCTCCTGGCGGGCAGGGCCCAGCCCTTGCTCTCCGCCTCACCGCCTGGCCTGCAGCGGCCCCGCCGGCGGGCAACTGCAGGAATGAGGTGCGCCAGGAGAAAACACGCGTCCCCTCCGGCCAGAGGACGGAATGCAGAAGGACCCCGGGGAGGTGGGGGGTGGCCCGCACCGTGGCCTCTCTTCACAGGCTTCCAGGCTGGAGGCAGACCGCAAGTGCCGCTCCTCCTGGGAGGCTGCCAGTCTGCAGAGCTGTTCCCGGCTCCTCGAAGACACGCCGCCACCCGCCGCCCCTGCGCCCCAGCACAGCCCGGCCGCGCCCAGGCTTCCCCCGCCCCGCGAGGCTCCGGGCAAGCCTCACTTACCGCCTTGCGGCTCCAGGGCCCCGGGCCCTTGGCCAGCACCAGCTCCTTGCCACGGGCCGCCAGCTCCTCGGGGATCTGGTGCTCCTCCAGGGCTGTCTGCAGGCGCCAGGGGAGGGAGGCCAGCGTGGCCTCGTGGGCGGCCACCTGCACCAGCGCACAGGCCTTCCGTGGGCGCCTCACCACCTCGATGTGCTCGCGGGCCACCGGCAGCTCCAGCCGCTCCAGGGCGTCCCGGAGCAGGCAGGTGAGCACAGGCACCGAGAACTGGGGGTTCAGGTGGCCCACATAGAGAATGTGCGTGCTGGGTGCTGTCTGGAGGCCCGAGTCCTCAGGCGGGGACTCGTCCCCGGGGGGCTCTTGTGGGGGCTGCTTGTCTGGGGGCTCCATGAGGGGCTCCTGCACCTGGGTTTGCCGTGATCTCTTCCTGGGGTGGGGGTCTCTGGAGAGGTCTCCCTCAGAAGGGCTTCTGGGATGTTCCTCCTGGGGCCGACCTGGGTCTCGGGCTGCCGAGGCTCCTGGGAGGTTCACACATGGGCAGGGGCTGGGCAGGGCCAGAGAGAGGGAGGGACGGTAGAGGGCCCGCCGAAAGGGGCCTGCCACCCACCCAAGGCCTAGGACAGGAAAGGGGAGTCAGCGGTGAGGCAGACAACAGGGCGTGCGGGCCTGCCCCTCCATTCCACTGCAGGGAAGACCGAGGGGGTGTAGAGGGGCCCCTCAGACTCCGCTCTCAGGGCCGCGCCGCATCCCCTTCTGGGCCGCAGGCCTCCTGTCCTCCCCCCACCAGGCCACAGGCGGGAGGAAAAGCTGCGGATTTCCTGCCCATCAGAGATGACTACTCCCTCCCGGCCCCAGGGGAACCTTTTCAAGGGGCCTTTGGAGAGGAAGCCGTCACCCAGGGCTCCTCCCCGCCTGCTCCGACGACGCTGGGGTGAGCCTCGCCGAGGCTGTGAACCAGTCAGGGCTGCGCCTGAGGGATTTAGGGCAGGGGCTCCCTGACCCATGAAAGCTTCGGCCCCTCCCACAGATGGCCTCCACACATGCACAGCTAATTTGAGGGGGCTCGTGGCCTGGTCTAGACGGAGTCCAGGAAGCAGAAGAGAGGAGGGGCAGAGCCGGGGCTCCTAAGTACGCCCCCTCCCGCCAGGCCGGGGGCCTCACTCCTGAGCTGTGCACCTTTGGCACCCAGCGGCCCCCCCACTCACCCTCGCACACCTGGCCTCCGCTCTGTGGGGCGGCTGCCACCAGCCTGCATCTTTTCAGATTGGCTCCTTGAGAAGGTCAGGGCCTGGGGCCCAGCACGGCCGGGGTGGGGGCATTCGGGACAAACAGGAACAGGAGGAAGAGGGAGGCCTCTGACCCTCATGTCCTGATGGTTCCCGGGGGAGCGTGGGAGGTGCCAGCCCTCAGCTCCCACAGACCCCTGACCCCTGGCCAGCAGCTCCCCGGGGGCACCTGGGGGCCTGGCGAGGGGCAGCCAGAACCAGAGCTGCGGGGGAGGCGGGCGGGGCCTGCGCAACCCCCTCTGTGATCTCACGGGAGTTGATAATGCCAATGTCTCGGCCAGCCTCACGCCTGGGCTGGGGAAACTCCCCCATTCCCATCCCCAAGGTAGGGACACTTCGTACATCACACGCTACAGTTTGGCTGTGTGGCTCCCTCTGGGCCGCTCCCGGAGTCCCTGGGGCCCGGGGCCAAGGACATACTTCCTCCTCCTGTAATGCCTCTCCTGGCCCCGGTGCCCACGCCGGTCCTCTTCAGTCCCCACCTTCCCGTTCCGTCCCCGGCCCCAGGCTCGGCTGAGCGCCGCCAGCCCGGCCGCTCCCAGCATGAATCAGAGCGCACGGCGCCAGGGCCGGAGGTTGCCGGCCAGAAGAGCCCTGAGCACTCAGTCAAGACCTGCCATCCCTTTTCAAGGACAGGGCTGTCACCTGCTGCTCGACAGGGACCAGGACATGGGTGATACCCATGATGCCTTTATTAACGCAGCAATCTGTTCTTGGGCGGGGAGGGGGGCTTTGAGAAATGCTTTCATTATGCAGTTGCAGGTAGCTGTTCCCACCACGCAGCTTCTGGAAGTCCTGGAGGGGGGAGGGCAGAGGCAGATGCTTCAGACTGGGGAAGCTGTTGGGGCCGTGCGGGCTGCCCCCCCTTCTCTGGGCAGCCATCCTGAAGAGGCTAAGGGAGCTCTGTTTCCCTCAGGGACGAGCCAGAAGCTGGGCTGGGGCAGCTTCGAGCGGTGGTGGTGCGCGGCTCTGGGATGAGGGCTGCGAGCTCTCCACGCCGCCCCCCTTCAGGCCCGTCTAGGCCCGGCCTTGACGGGCCGCTCTCTCGGCAACCGCTCAGCCGGGGTCGTAGCTGCCCAAGAAGGAGGGTGCAGTGGGGTTGCCCTGCGTCGCGGGAACAGCCGGCCAGGAGAGGCGCCCTGACAGACCAAAGCTGTAAGCACCACCAGAGGACACGGCTCCCTTCCCGAGAGGCCTTGCTGTCAGGCCACCCGCCGCACCCGACCGCCCACACTCCCCCTGCTCCTCCTGGGGGTCTCTCCAAACCACCTCACTACCTATTTCCCGGGACCTTTTACCTCCGCGTGTGAAAAGCACAGCCGTCCTGCTTCCTTCCGCGGGGAGGGGTGAAAACGGTCACTGTGAGCACGAAGTACACTTCCACGATCCTATTTCAGATACTGACACGTATGGCAGTGTAACTGGGTTATTCAGGGCATCGCGCTTTCCAAGAGGCCGCCGGGCAGTGGCGGACACAGGCTCCGTGTTACGGGGTTAAGTAGCCCCTCAGTGGATGTCCGTGACCTTCCTGACAGACTCCACTTTGAGCCAGAGGCAAACAACTCTTGAATTCAAAGGTAAGGATGTGAGGTGGACCCAAAGATGAAGGGGGAGAGGGAGGCTACGGATATGGCTCTTCTCGTGTTATCTGGAGAGTGGCCACTTGGTGGCCCCACGTGGCCACGATCCCGGGAAGCACGTCAAGGATGGGTGTCCGGGAGGCCAGGCGAGGCGCAGAGTGCAGGGGCAGAGGTGGGGACTGAGCTCAGCCGTCGTGTGGGAGACGTCAGGACAGCAGACTCGGGAACTCAGGGGAGAAGTGCTGTGCACGCAGCCTTTGCCATCTGGGCCCCAGGGCGCTCCCGTCTTGAGCCCTCGCCTGGTGTATGGCCATCTGCCTGTTGATTCCTGACAGGGTCCAGCCCCAGCCACCCACAGTTGTCTCGGGTCCCGTGCCTTTACACTGGGACTCGTCAGCTGTGGGCTCCTGGAAGCACCCGCGGCGGCTTTGGTGTCGCAGTCCGGACATAAATGTAGTCGTGACGCTTGGCTGTCATGGCCCCTGGACTGGAGGTTTCCAGCTGTAGAGCTTCCCGGATGAATGGGGCGACTTGGGGAATTAGGGTAAGGAGGTGCAAAAAGCGGAGGGATGATGAGGGGAGGGGTGTCTGGGCTCTCCAAGGCAAGAAGGTTCTCCCAAGTTTTTAGCTTTGGTTGCAGGGAGGAGGGGGGAGCCACCTTCCAGCTCTTCCTGAGGAGGGATCGTGGCCTCCGTGTGAGGGCAGACACCGTGTCCACGTGGACCACCAGAGCCACGGCCCACAGAGATCTCAGGTTATTTCACAAGGGGGCTGTGGAGGCTCCAGCGTGACAAGGCAGAGGTGACAGGGACTACATGGCCGGCAGCAGGGAGGGCACAGGTGGTGCCTAGGTAGAGCCTGGACTCTTCTGTCACCTCAAGCACACGGGCTTCCTGATGCTCCTCAGTGCTGGAGTCAATGTCCTCTCCTTGTCACAGTATTGGGGGGGGGGGCCATGTGAAGCTGGTGCCAGGGGGCCTCTGGCCCTCAGTCCTAGATGCCTTCCCATTTTGTGGGGGGCTGAACTGTTGGGGTTCATGGAGTGGTCTCCCCTGCACCTCGGCTGGTGTGCATGGGCCTGCTGAGGCCCCTTCAGCTTCTCTGGATGACTGTGGGTCACTATTAGAAGGCTTGGCTTTGGGAAATAATTTCAAAAGTTTTTTTTTTCCTCCTGAAAAGACACTCAGTTCTGTCCCCAGGGGTTAGGGCAGTAAGAGTGAAGGGGTAACAAATCCTCTCCCCTCCTACAGAACCTGACATTTGGTTACCTTTCTAGTTCTGTTCCCTTGGAAACCAGATAAAAGTGGAATGTCAACTGTTTTAAGGCAATGTTGCTTAGGGTAAGAATGAACCCGAACTGTAAATTATCTGGACAAGAGACATCTGCGTAAAAGACACAGCTCTGGGCTTCCTTAGTGCAGAGGGTCAATGGGGCACATCCTTTGCAGGGATCTGGAAGTGATGTCCACAGAGTCATTATGCCTACAAACTAGGGAGTTACTGCTCCCCCGGGGCATGGTGCTGAGAAGCCAAGGTAAACCCCACTGCTCCCTGACACGTCCCATCCCCTTGCACCTGAGCTGTCACCTGGATGGCGGTGGGCTCTGCAGGGACTACCCTGCCGAAGGGGACTGCTTCATGCCGTCCTGCTGGCAGGTGTTTCCGTCTGACAGCCGTCAAGGTGAATGCCCCCAGGCTAGCCTGTGGAAGCTGAATGGTCAGCAGGATCTGGGACAGCGGCCCCCCGGAGGGTGTTACAGGCACCCCTGATTAGCTACGGAGTTCTGGGGCAAGTACCTCAACTCTCTCCAAGCTTTAGTTTTCCCACTTGCAAAAGGCGGGGCTGAGGTTTACATGAGAGAATGCACATAACTCCGCAAAAGTAAGCTGGGAAACCATATGCTCTTGGTGACAAGGGGGTGGGTGACAAGGGGGATGCTGACCGACTCCACAGGCACAGCCCTGCAGTGTGTCTGGCCTGCCTCCACATGGTGTTACCTTCAGTCCCTGCATCTGTCTCTTGGGTAAGGATCACATCCGGAAGTTCGCTGTCAGGGTTCCCTAAGGCCCTCTTTGGGAGTACCATGAACGATCGGCACAGCCTACCACACCCCAGTGTCCAGGAGTCTGTGGAGAACAGAGTCCTGCTCTGGTTTGGCAGCCCTGACCCAGACTGCATCACGGGAACCGTGGTGAGAACCTCACAGGGGCCAAGTGCAAAAGATGTTATCACTTAGTCACCAAGGTGGCACCAGCCAGGGTGAGAGCTGGTAGGGCCCTCAGAAGTCTCATCTGAAACCCTCATAGCCACATGGGCCCAAAGAAGGGAAACGACCCACCCAAAGCCTCACAAACAGACTGACTAGCACCTCCACGTTGGCCTTGGTGTCAGAGGACTTGGCTTCAAACGCCTGCTTTGGTGCTTCCTGGGCGGCGACCTTACATGTCCTCATCTATCAAATGGGTTTGCCGTGAAGATTTAAAGACTGACTCTAATTCCTGTGGAGTAGTTCATGGGGGCCGCAGTGACACGACAGTGTCCGTTACACCTTCTCCTGCAGCCCCAGCAGAACTGAGGCTGTGTGGCCCTGGCCTGGAGTATCTGGCCCCAGGTCGGCGCAAGCTGGGCGAGCCTGCGTCTCTCCTCACCTGACGACGGCGACAAGGAGGAACCCAGCCATGGAGGCTCTCGGAGCTGCTGACCCAACTACTGCTCTTCCTGCTTGGGCTTCGGGCAGCTTCCGCGCTCCCTGCTGTCTCGCTGCACCAGAGCGCAGCCCTCTGAGGGCAGAGAACGGACTCCACACTGCTTCCCAGTGGGCATCTGGCAGCCAGCCTACTTTTTAGGGACTGCTGGAATCAGAAGAACTCTTGGGGATCATCTTGTCTACACGCCTCCTTTAAGGATGAGGAAACTAGGGCCAAGAAAGGGGAGTGCTCTGCCGACTGATTAAAACCACACTGGCATCTATATTGGTTTTTATTTATAAACAAACTGACATAAAAGAAGTCCGGATGGCAGTGGGGGCAGCTGTGCTGCTGACTTGCTTATAAAGGAAGCATCTGGACAGTGAGAGGGTACAACCAGATTCCAGCCTGCAGACCCTTCCCTCCCATCCACCTTATGGCCTTCGTGGCCTAGAATCACGGGGCCTAACCTCCTTTGGCAGTAGTTCTGGCCAGGGCAAGGAGCTGTGGTGGGGGACAGTGTGGGGCAGGGGACTCCCCATTCCCACAGATGAGGCCCGGGCTGCAGAGGGCCCAGTGGAGTAAGAGGGGAACCCTCTCCTCCCCATGCTGAGTGATACGGTCAAGGCTTGAAGGATGTGTCCATCCCACAGAGAAAGTGCCCTCGGGTGATGTCCTTGGAAAGGGGCCACGCCTCTCTGGGACCAGGGCAGGGCAGTCTCTCTCCTGAAACCCAGTGTCTGGAGTGAGAGGAGTATGAACTGGGGGGCTTGCCCTCGTGCCAGAAACAATAAACAATAAGAAAAGGTCTTTTTTTTTTTTTTTTTTAAAAAGGTAGAGGTTTGCACCATGAGTTTGGAGTCTGGAGCTCTTGTGAGGAGGTGGCAGGAGTTGTGGGGAAGTGGGGTGCCACACCAGGCCCAGCAGGTGGCAGGGGGACTGGGCCCAAGTGTCAATTCAGGGCCCTATCCTCTGAGGCCTCAGGGGTCAGCCCCTTCCTCCATCACCTGAAAGGTGTTCAGTCTAAACGCCCAGTGGGAGGCCAACCAGGCTTGAGAAATAAATACAGAGGGACCTCAGAGCCGAGGCAGGGCTGAGGGGAAGAGCAGCGCCAGCCCTGGGCCCCACACTCTCCCCTCGTCGGTCCTTCATGGAAGGACATATCATGGCAGGAGCGGGGAGCAGTGGTGGCTCCACACGGCCTCCCGAGTCCTGAGGTGGCCCGGAATCCACTGAGGCGCCGGCAGTGGGCTGCTTGGCCCCCCCTTCCGGGGAGAAGAATGCTGAGCCCTTCCGGTGGACCCCTCAGGTGTCTAGGCTGCGTCTCCCGGCTCAGAACTTGCCCTGCTTCAGCCGGTCGATGTGGAAGGAGAGCTTGAGCGCGGGCCCCAGCTTCAGCCCCATGTACTTCATCATCATGTCACTGCGCAGCAGGAGCAGGGCCTTGCCGTCAATCTCCTGGGGGGCGGGGGGCAGGGCCGTCAGAGGCCTGGCTGCTCTGGCCACCAGGTTCTGCGCCACTGAAGCCTACCTGCTCCCTACAGCTTCTGTGGCCGCTGTCCCCCAACATCTACTACCGAGCCCAGCAGGTGCTCTTTCCAGCGCCCGTCCTGCTTTCCTTTCCCTGCTGCCTGAGGCGGTGGCCCCACCCTCCAACCACTGGGGTCTGGCTACGTTCCATCTTTTCCAATAAGCACACCACCCCCCCCGCCCCGCAATCATGTGCTCGTCCCCTCTCCCAGACTGGTTTATACTGATCCTCAACTGTTACTCCATAAGTCATCTTCCTTCCTGAGTGGCCAGGGCCCCTCTGTGTGAGCCAGGCTCAGAGCAGCTGTGAGATCTTTAGGCTTGACCCAAAAGCAACCCCAAACCCACCAGCATGAAAGACTGAAATTATCCATGAAAGGCAGCAGATCTGTTCTGAGCGCCCAAAGGGCAGAACAGCACCAAGCAATAGGGGCTGCGGGGAAATGGGTTTGCACCCCAAATCAGGAGTATGGTCACCACAGGCGGGTCAGAAACAGTGCCTGGCCACCCAGTCAAATGGTCACTTGAAGAGATGCTGGAGGTTCACAGAAGAGCAAGGACAAGATGGGGGGCTGATGCGGCTGGAGAGTAGGAGCCATCTGGCTGGGGACTCTAAGTTGGGCTGAGGCCCCCAATTCTCAGGCCAAGGCAGGCAAATGCGACAGCAAGCACATCTAGGAAAAGAGGAGAGTCCTTCCCCTGGGCCCGAGCCCACCAGCCAGGCACCCAGCAGGCATGTGACCGAGTCAGACCTACACTACAGGAGTGGGCTGAACTCGGTGCCCAACGAGGGCTGCTTGAGACCCAAGATTCTGTCTCTGTTTTCAGGGTGTCTCCTGTGCTCAGTTTCAAGGGACCTTTAAGAGTCTACAAGTTTCGGAAGCAAGACTCCCTGTGGACATGGGAGAGATCAGGCAGGGGCACCTACGTGTTTTCGAAAGAGGTCAGCGTGGGGTCCAAGCTGAGGATCAGCTTCCCGGACAAACTGCATCACGTCCTCCACTGTCCATGAGGAGGGGTCCCGGCCACTCAGTCGAGAGGCATCCCGGCTTTCCAGATATCGGTCCGACCCTGCAGGACAGGAGGAAACCTGCTATAACGGGTGGGGACTGGTCTGTCCCGCCCCACCACTCTCCTTGGTATGTCCCCATGGCCCTGCTGGTAAGGCTCACAGCAGTGCCAAAGCAGAGAACTGGAGGTGGCCGAGGGAGGGAAGGGCTCTTCCACAAAGGGATCAGGGTCTGAGACTCTTCTCAAGTCAAATCTTTGTTCTTTAAGAGTAGATCTGATTCTGGAGAGGGTCAGAAGAATTTCATAGTAAGGCTGTGGCTCTGCCTGGACTGGAGTCAGTGGTAACAATGAGTAAGGGGATGACATGGGTTCAGTGGGGGCCTGGTGGGTAAGGCTGCTTTTGCCTTGGCTCTGGGGACCATTTCTAGAGAGACTTTGGGAGATGGGCAAGAATAGAGCCAAATCCTTGGGGTCTAGGAAGAAAAAAAGTGGTGGATAATACCCTGTACCTCTTCCAAGGCCTGGAAAGAAGCTAACCTTGGGACAGCCTCATGCACAGAGGCAGAATGCAGTTTTGCTTGGGCTGCCAGGAATCTCAATGTTAATTTAGTGCTCAGCTTAGAGCTTTTATCTCAATCTTGGCTCAAATACAGTTCCTCCCATTCCCCCTGTGGGATCTGGGCTCTCTGAAATCTGAACTCCTTACCGTGCGTGGTCTAGAAGGTACTCTATCATCTGGCCCTGTCTACCTTTGACCGAATCTCAACCCCCTGCCCCCACCCCTTCCTCACCATGCTCCAGACACACTAGCTTTCTTTCTGCTTCTTGAATAGGCTATGCTTTATTCTTTGACCTTCAATCTCCTCCGTTCTTTTCCCAGGGCTTTGCCTATCTGATTCCTTCTCAATATTTATTTCAAATATCAATTCCTCAGAGACCTTCACTGACCTCCTATAAAAGTACTCCATTCCCCACAGAGCTATTCTCAATCTAATTACTCTCCCTTTTCCCAGCACATATCACTACCTAAAATAATTTCATGTATTTATGTTTATTGTCTGTATTCTCCTATTTTCTGCCCTGCTATTTCCTTGTGATATTGTGGTTTTTAATAAGAAACATACATATGTGGTCTTTGTCCTGTTTCTGGCACAGAACTCCTAAAATTCTTAGAATTTCCCAAATGGTGAGAGAAATAAAGGGGTCTTTTGTTATTTATAACAAGCCCTTTTCAACCACACCTGAGTATGGTCAGGAGGTGACTTCTGGAAAGCCCCTGAGGATGGGGGCTGGTTGCCAACCATCCTGGGAAGGAGAGTCTCCAATGACTTCATCAATCGTGCCTATATAATAAAGGTTCCATAAAAAAACAAAAGGATGGGTTTCAGAGAGCCCCCGGCTGGTGAGCACACGGAAGTGTGGGGGGCGCGGCATCCCTGAACAGGGCGTGGAAGCCCGTGCCCACCCCCCCAGGCCTTGCCCTGGGCAGCTCTTCCATCTGGCTGTTCCTGAGTTACATCCTTTCGTAAAAAGCTGGTAACCTAGTAAGTGACCATTTTCCTGAGTGAACCCGAGGAGGGGATCGTGGGAACCCTTGACTGCCAGCCAGTCAGGAGCACAGGTGACAACCCAAACCTTCGACTGTCACATCTGAAGTGGTGTGTGTGTGGGGGGGGGGGGGCAGGCTGGTGGGATGTGACGCTCTCTCCAGAGGGGGTCAGGATGGAGTTAAGTTGTCGGCCCCCCAGGGGGTGTGGCACAATGGCTTGGGGTGTGGAGAAGCCGCACATCTGATGTCCGGGTGAGGTCCTGTTGAGTAGAGTACTGGGCGTAGGGGAGACACCCCAGGAGGGGGGCAGGGTTTTCCTTTTACAGTCCCCAACACGCAAAAGATGCCTGTCTGCTACAGATGTTCCAACAGGTTTGTTCACTGAATGAAGGATCACACACTAGTTACTTGTGTATTCTTCTGTCTCGAGGCAGGGGACCTTGCCTTGCTCCTGTCTGTATGCTCACCACTCAGGAGATGCCAGGTGCACAGCCGAGGGGTGAGCTGAAACACACCTACGAAAGCAGAAGGGGGTACTCTTCAGCTATCTGTGGCAAAGGCTAAAAACCTCCTCCATTTCCCTTCACCCTGGGTCCCAGGTCTGAAAGCCGAAGCACGCTTGGCTTGGCCCAGCCCTGCTCCTGGGGAAGAGACTCCAGCGTGTTACATCTCGGACTTAGAGCTGGGCACTGACCAGATAAGGGGAGAAGTTGCTGGAGCAAGCAGGGTGCTTACAGCCACAGAAATTCCAATGGCTTTTTAGAGGCGCTGGCAGACAGGAAGTTGGAGAGGGCTCTGTGAGCCAGCCACTTTTCTGGGCTCTAACAGTCCAGCGTGACGCTGACAGAGAACAGCTGCTGGGACTACGGAGAGCAGAGAGAAGCTACACTCATGGGTGTGTCCTCGGCCCATCTCAGCCACTTCCTCGACCCAGGGGAGCTAGGAATCAAACACACGCACGATGATATTTTATATGTCTATATCTACATATCTATTATATATCTATATCTATCTATCATCTATCTATCTATCTATCTATCTAT